TGAATGTTCTGTTTTATGTCCTCCATAAAATTCAATAAAACATAACATTTGTGTAAATTCATCAGCCTTAGTGAGAGTTACTACATCAGCAGAGAACAGTGAATTGAAATGTGAAAACCAGACTTTCACTGGCATGTAAAAAGTTCAACTAACACTCCAGCCTCCAGGTGTCTGTGGCTCAAATTAGAAACTGAGACATGTGTGCCTGGAGTTCCTTGTGCTGACCTGAACTGTTGGGGATCTTTTGTATTTAGTAAATTTCCAGGTCACTGTTGATCTCAGTCTTCTTCCTCCTTGGCTTCCCTCAGTATTGAGTCAGATGTACCCCTGGTGTCTACTGCATTTTGTGTGTGTGTGTGTGTGCAGTCTTGTTTCGCTTCCATATTGTCAATGCCACTGCCACGCTTGCTCCAGTTCACCAGTCTCTCCCTCCCTTGGAGGAGGAGGCATTGACCTTTGAAGATGGATTTATTCTAATTCTTCATAGTTTTTTCTCATTCTCTACAGTTTCTGTTTATTCCACATCGTTTGATCTCCTTATCATTCCTTTTTTTCCCCTTTATTGGTTTTTAGAGAGAGAGGAAGGGAGAGGGAAAGAGAGATAGAAACATCAATGAGAGAGAACATCGATTGGCCGCCTCCTGCAGGCTCCCCACTGGGGATCGGGCCCACAACCTAGGCCTGGGCATGTGCCCTGACCAGCAATCAAACCGGCGACTTCTTGGTGCAGGGTTGTTGTGCTCAGCCACTGAGCCACACCAGCAGAGCCTCTTCTCATTCTTTTTTCATCCTTACAGTTAGTGCAATAGTCTAATAAAGAGGAAACAGGATTTGGGGTGAGAACACCTGGCCTGCAGTCTGAGACTTAGTGGATGTTTTAGGGACAGTGCATCAGCACAGAACTAAGGTGTTCTTTGTCTGAAGCTTCCTAGTCTGGTCAGTTTCTCTCCACAAGTATTGCCTGTAACAAATTACCCCACAGTGACAACCATGAAGCACACCAATCTGTGGGTCAGGATATAAAGTGGCTTAGCTGGAATGTTCTGGTTCAGGGTCTCTCGAGTGCCAGTCAAGGTGTTGGCCGGGCTGAAGGCATCTGAGAAAGCTGAGGGTCTGCCACTCGCACGCAACAGGCAGCACATCTCCCCACGGCTGCTGTGTTTCCTCACAGCACAGCAGCTGTTCTCCCAAAGCTACTGACCATGGAGGAGGCTGCAATGCTCCTGGTCACCTGGCTTCTACCATCAGTTCTGCATAGTCCATGAAGGAGTGTCACCAGGCCCAGCCAATACTCAGGGGGAAGGAAATTAAGTTCCACCTTTCAGATGGAGTTGTATCAGAGGATTTGTGGGTATATTTTAAAACTAGAACAGGTAAGTTACCTCTATGAGCTTCAGCCCCTTCAGTTATAAAGGGGGGAAGAAGTGTCTTACAGAGTGAGTTGTGAGGTTAAATGAGGATGACATCCTTGAAAAGGATCTTATACATGTTATAACTCTCTGCTGCTCTGTAGTAACTTTCACTGAATAGTTACTGCCAAAGCCCCAGCTCTGCTGCTCTTACTGTCTCCTGGACCTGTTTCAGCGTTCTTGCCCTTGAACTGACCCTGGTACTTGGGCTTGATTTAGGTTAGCCCATAGCATATAACCCTGGGATGCACCTATGTCAGCCTTTGCCCTGTTCTCAGGTGTCTCTCAGAAAGTAAATTACATACCTGCAGCATGTTTATTTCAGGAGACAAAAGTACCGAGAAGATGTTTGCTCCAAAGAAGCCCGTTTAAGGAACTTCATCCCCATAGACAGTGCGAGCAACATCATTTGCAGGGATCGTGCAAAATGAAAACATGGGGCACCCTGTTCAAAAAGCAGGAAAACATCGTGTTAAAAGTATTAAACTATGAAACATTTTTATCTCCCCACCCCATGGCCTCTTTCTTGATTTGTCATCATGTTTATGTTATTTAATGTAATTTGAAGTAAAAATCAAAATTTGAAATGAGCACTATTAATTTTGGTGTTCACCTTTATTTTATACAATGCCAGTTTATTTTTTATTTTTTATTTTTTTTATCCTCACTGAGGACATTTTTGCATTTATCGTCAGATAGAACAGGAGGGAGAGAGGGAGAAGAAAGAGAGGAGAGAGAGAGAGAAACATCAACGTGAGTAAGACACATTGAGTGGTTGCCACCCACATGACCTCAACCAGGGCCAGGCATAAACTGCAACGTGCCCTTTGTGGGAACCGAACCCAGACTCTCTGGTTCGCAGGCCGACCCTCTAACCCCTGAGCCAGACCAGCCAGGGCACAATGCCAGTTTAAATGCAAATATAAGCACATTTAACTTGTATATCAAAACACCAAAATTACACAGTTGATATCCTAAGGCTCCCAAACAGGTGACAAAAGTTTGCAGATGTTTGAAACAGTTTACTCTTGTATTATTATTTATTAATTGTTGTACTGTTTATTTGTATTAGAACTGTGGGCCTACTTTTGACCATTCCGGATGCTCAGTGGAAATGCTGTAGAAACTGACCCAACACTCTTGACAGATATACATTCTGCCTGATGAGCAGAATGACAGGAAAGGTGACAGAGGGCTGCTCTCCTTTCCTGTCCTGTGTGTCATTTTCAGCAAGTGGTTGCCTAGTACAGGGACGTAACCTGAAGAAGAGAGAATACCGCAGGGCTCCTTGGTTGTTCCTGTTTCTGAGATGCTGCCATTTGCCAGCTTTCTGACTTACAAGCATGTTCTGGTTGCAGCAGAAAGGATCTCACCTGGCTGTCAGCACCCGACTGACTCAGATGCAGACTAACATGCTTACCTTGGCTGTGTAGAGGTAGAAAAATTTCCCTTCCTCCCTTCTGGGTTCTTTGGCTGGTCTAACAATCAAATTCACATAAGACAGATTAACAGGAGAAAAACAATTTTAATTTTGTACATACAAAAGCACCAAAAAATATAATACCAAAAGGCAGTCTGCCATCCTGGGCTAAGGAATGGGCTGGGGCCCGGGGCTGCACAGGGAAGGAGGGAGTTCACAGGGTGATAGAGCAGATGTTTGGTAATCAGATGTGTGCCCTGTCCTACACACAGGTCATTCAGAGAAAAGTTAACTCTTAATAGCTCTCTTCCTGGGATAGGCCCCCTATCTAAATTCTTCTGGGCAGTTAAGGGAGAGGTAAAAGTTTTTCCTGGGTCTCGGCTGCTTTAAAGTCAAAAGAGTTCACGTGCCCAAGTGACCCATTTTGGGGCAGCCTACTCTGCCCCCCTTCATACTCTGAGCCTCACTGAACTCCCATGACTCATGAGCCCACTGAAATTTGTGCTCATGGGGAACACAAATGCTCATCACGAATTGGGGGCGGGGGCCAAGAAGCACAGACATACCCTCTGCTGAGGCACAAGCTCCATTGTCCTACTTAATTTGCTTACAAAGCACAAGTTTAAAGATAAAATTAAGAATTTCAAGGCTGGGACAACAGGGCATTAAACCAAGGTCTGGACCTTGGTACCACAGGCCATCTGAGCACAGGAGGTCACCACCTTTGAGATGAGACCAGCATGTGACTCACTAGGGATATGCAAGGATGGCAACTGTGAAGAAGCCTCAAACAGGTGACAAACGGGGAACATCTCACCTGGAACTGAAATTTCATCAAACACAGGAGAAACCATCCTGGAGGAAATGAAAATTGTGGTGAGTGTGGGAAAGCCTTTATTCAGCATTCCCACCTTTCCAGACATGAGCGAACCCATTGGGGAGAATTGTATCACTGTAATAAGGGTGAGAAAGTCTTGTCGCTGCTTCCCTGAAATTCCCCGCTGGAGGGAAGAATGCGGGAAAGTTTCTAGCTGAAGCACTGGCCTTGTCCAGGTGATTCAACTCTGAGAAGGCACCAGACTGCCCATGTGGCTACACAATGAGGAAGTGTCACTCGGAGTCAGGAATAAAAAGGATGCTATGGGAAAGAGCATGAGAAAAGCTTCAAGGTCTTCTCCTCTTGATAATGGCAATTTTTCGAGAGACAAACTCTCGTATGGAGAAGATATTTGACAAACAGTCATAAGCCTTCTCTGCAGCATGCCAGACACCTATGGGGTAAGGTTTAACTGTGTCTCTGGACAAGGAGTGTAGGTTTGGAGAGTACTGCTTTTCACCTCATAACCTTGTAACTACTGGCAAGTTACTGAACTCCTTTATACCTAGAATTTTCTTCAAAAAATGAGGATAATAACTACTCTGTTTACCAAGGATATTACAAGATCAAAGGTAACACGTGAATAGATGCCTTTTTGTGCTGGTTTAAAGTTTCGAGACCTTTTTTTTTTTTTTTTTTTTGGTTCTGGCTCCCTCCACCCTCTTCCACATGTGTCAGTGGCCAGAGAACCTGCTGTTGTCAAGAGGCCCCCAGAACTGCAGTCTCTGTCCATTCAGCCCAGGAAAGTGCCCACAAATCCACAGCACACACGGCAGAAAGGTCCCAATCATAGGACTGTCTCCTCCAAGTCTTGGCTCACTTCCATTTGAACACATTCCTCACCTGTCTCCACCTCCTGCCTCATTTCCTCCCATTCCCCTCCTACCTGCTGGATTGTCTGATTCCAGCCTCTTGCCTCGGCTGCTCTTCTGGTTTTACTTCCTGGCATGACCGTGTTGCAGATCCCACCGTGTGTGGGAAGGCACCACTGCCTATGTCCTCACCCAGCAGGGCACCCTGGCTGTGTCTCCACTTGTGCAGCAGTGCTGTGCGGGGCCATTGACCAGGGCTGAGGATGAGACTCCCTGAACCTCCCCCACACTGTGATCAAGGTCATTTCCCAAGGTCCTTATTTTTCCTCTCTCCATTGCTAGACTAACCTAGTTATTAGCTCCCCCAATTCTGCTCTTCTGGTTTGATAGCCCAGTCTCGCAGGAAGCACAGAGGTCACAACCATATGCAGGACAGCACACTAGAACCAGGGGGAGAAAGGACACACTAGTTATTCAGTCACTCATCCCACCCAGTATTTATTTTGCATTCAATCTTTTCCATTTTGCTATTTCCTTAGCATTGCCTATAAATGTAAGGCCCTCACATTAATAAGCTTTCCCTCTTGTGGATTCTCTGATGTTGACTGAGGTGTGAACTCTGACTGAAGGCTCTCCCACACTCACTGCATTCATAGGGTTTCTCTCCAGTGTGGACTCTCAGGTGCCGAATGAGGTGTGAGCTCACTCTGAAGGTTTTCCCACACTCACTGCACTCATAGGGTTTCTCTCTGGTGTGGATTCTCTGGTGCAGGATGAGGTGTGAGTTCAGGCTGAAGGCCCTCCCACATTCTTTGCATTCAAAGGGTCTTTCCCCAGAGTGGACTCTCTGGTGTCTAATGAGATCTGAACTCCCCCCAAAGCCTTTCCCACACTCGTTACACTCATAAGGTCTCTCTCCAGTGTGGATTCTCTGGTGTCTTGTAAGTTTGGAGCTGTGTCTGAAAGCTTTCCCACACTCACTACACCGATGGGTTTTCTCTCCACTGAAAACCGCTGCCTGTTTAATAAAGTTTGGGTGCTTGAGAAGTTTTCCACATTGGGGAATTTTTTCTCCAGCATAAATTATTTGATGCTTAATAAAACCTGAATTCCACTTGCAACTTTGGTCATAGGTACCGTGTTTGCAAGATTTCTGGTGTGTAAATTCACTTGAGTTCAGGTTTACACCACTGTCACATCCATCATAACTTATTATTTCACCAGAGGGTATATTTTTGTGGGTGAGGATTTTGTTATAACCTCCATCTTGCACAGATGATGGTCTCCGAGACTCCCCAGGTTCCTTTTCTTGTTGCCGCTTTGTCTGGCCTGCAGACTTAGTGATGTCCTGAGGCTCAGCAGACTCCTCTGATGCAGATCCCAAAGGTCTTCCAGATATAATTCTCTGTGATTCCATTTTTTCATGAATGTCCAGATTTGGCACAGACCCACTATTTTCACTCTCATTATCTAAAATAGCAATAATAATAAAAGAGGTAAATACCTGTTTGCTGAGCTAGAAGAAAAGAAAGTGTTCAGATGCACCGAGATAGTTACATATTGCTACTTCATTTGGCCACTCTAAAAACGTGGCCTGTCAAATGAGAGGCATGAAGGACACAAAAGAAAAAAATTGGTAAAAGCAGGTCATGTGTGCAGTGGTTGGCAGGGGGAGGAGACACCCAGGGATGAGCAGATGAAGCAGAAAAGACTGGGAAGAGGATTATCACCAGTAAGAAAGAGGGAAGACAAAGTAAGGAGAAAGAACTATGAGAGTGCCTGAGGGATCTGGTGGGACTTTGGGTCTAGGATACACTTCTAGGGTTAGGCTTGGAGGGAAAAAGGAAGGAACCATCTCAAATAAAGCAGATGCTGGAGAAAAGAAAAGCTATTAAATGACTCTGCAGTGTGCTTATGTGGAGTGGAAAACATCCATCCATCTATTCATCATCCACTTCTTCCACAGTAATCAAGTTCTCTCAGCACTTTCTGCTAATCCCCTATAGTATACATTATTTCCTCTACATTTCTGCTACCATCACCACTTCCTATCTAGGTGACTGTTTGATTCTGAACTGTTCCTCTTCCTGGTTACCCTCAATACCAGGGACCTTTAATCTCTCCTCTTGTACAACAGGAACCACTTATGGTCCAGTCCTCACAATTCCTACCTTCTAGCTCGTGACTCTATACTGTGCTGGAATCAAGCAGCCCCTCTTTGTTACTGGAAAATGCTAGGGCAGGAAAGGGGCTTAGGTAACCCTGGTCTTAGAGTGGGGGAAAGGTCCAATTTTAGACGGCATGGATGAAAATGTTTCCAGAACAAACTTGAAAGCAAAATCTGCATATTAAAAAAAATCACTGTAATTTATTCTTGAGTTTATCTTTGGTGTCTCTCACAGCTGAAATGATACCAAGTCCATGAACTTTTAAACAGATGAGTTTTAGAACAGAGATGAGTCTTCTATGGAGAAGTCACCAGAAATATGGCCAACTTTCTATAAAAATGTAAGAGAGCTTTGTAAGATCAAAAGTACAATAAGAGCCCTGGCTGGTTTGGTTCAGAGGTTAGAGCATTGGCCTGCAGTCCAGAGAGACCCGGGTTCGGTTCCCGCTAAGGGCACGAACCTCGGTTGCAGTTTGTCCCCGGCCCTGGTCAGTTGTGCGGGTGGCAGCCACTCGATGTGTTCCTTTCACATCGATGTTTCTCTCTCTCTCTGTTCCTCTCTCTCCCTCCCACTCTACCTGAACAAAAAATGGAAAAATGTCCTCGGGTGAGGATAAAAAAAAAAAAAAAAGTACAATAAGAAAGTCTACAATGTGACCTTGTTCTGAATGTGTCATCCTGCATCTGTCACTCTTCTGTAGGAACATGTTTTGTTTCTGTTGATGTTTCTTCCCCTTTGTCTTCTTTTCTCATTTCCTGACATTTTCTTCACTCATTCACTTTTCTTTCCTTTAATTTTCTTATAGATTAAAATACTCATATTTTGGAGTAAATATTCTGGAAAAAAATTCTTTTTAAAATGGCCAATAACACATAGGAAAAGCATTCTCTACCTCTCATTGGGTGACAAAGAAAAGAACCACCTACAGCTACTGGGACAGTCTGAGAAGGGAGAGTCCCTCCTCTAGTGATGTGACCTTACCATAGCCCAGTGGGAGAGGGGGATCTGAAGAGCCCTGAAGGTCCTTGGTGTCCACTGGCTGGAGGTGGACAGTAAGGGCTGGTCCAGGAGGTGCCACCTTTCTCCTGAATATTTCTTGTCCATGTCCAGGGACTGGAATCTGAGAAAAATAAAGTACATCTAGGCTTATGAGAGAGTCCCTGTTGGAATTAAACATCTCCCCCAAAGAAAGAGAACCACCTGTAGGAACACAAAACAAGGGAAGGAAGAATTGAGTCTGACTCAGCTGTAAGATGTGACATAGTACTAAACAGAGCAAAGAAGACATAAATGCATCCTGAAGTAGGAGCTCCTCCAACTCTCCCACGGTGGGACACCATCCATCCTGAAAGTCTTAGCTTGCCCAACCCCTCTGTACCTGGAGCATAGCTTCATTGCTACCTCTCTCCATGTCTTCCAGCACTGTCACCGCCTCCTCCCCACTCTGTGGGTGCTGCTCCCGCACCTGGGCCTGCAGCTCCGCGGGCAGGATGCTCAGGAACTGCTCCAGCACCAGCAGCTCCAGCATCTGCTCCTTGCTGTGCACCTCGGGCCTCAGCCACAGCCGGCAGAGCTCGCGGAGCCGGCTCAGCGCCCCGCGAGGCTCAGGTGCATCCTGGTAGCAAAACTGCCTGAAAAGCTGCCGGCAGAGCTCCTGCTTGAGAGAATCACTTCTCTGTGAGCAAGGGTCCTGCCCCCAGACAAAGTTTTCCTCCTCCACCTTCACTTTCAGAAGTCGTTCATCTTCCTGAGGGTTCTGAGCTGTAGCTCCCTTTGATTCTGCCATCATCTTGGGATATAATGTATGATCAGGAAGCCCACTTCTGCTCTACGAAGTACTTAGTTTCAACAGCTCTCCTAGGGGTAAAAAAAAATTACTATTACTGTCTAGAAGATGAAAGATCACATTATGGAATTAGTCATTTTCTATTACACAAAGATGTTTCGGGCATTTACTGTGTGTAAGAGTACTGAAACACTTGCTTTCTGAACTCAACTGTTACATACTTCCTACATCAAAGCACCTGGAAATTTAAATTTCAAAGCAAGTTAATTAGGGAGCATTTGCAATCTTGCTCCTGGCATGTATCATCTATTTGGCTCAAATGAACTCTTATAAATTTTAAAAACACCCCAAGATAATTTAAATGAGAAACATTAAATGTAACATTATACAAATACAAGGCAATATTAAATGTTAACATGCCACATGCAAGTAAACATGTTCTAAGTTATGCAGACAATAAGGACCAGAGAAAAATGACAGAAGAGCTTCATAAGTTGGAGATGGGAAAGAGCACATTAGATTGCAATGGTCAGGGAAAGCTATTTAAAAACTAAGTTCTGAATAATGGATGGGACTTGACGAGGATGTGGGAGAGACAGGAAATTACAAGCAATGGAAGGGCATGAACAACCAGTTAATGGTAAAGACATAGAAGTAGGAAAGCAGCCATTCAGTAGGTTTGTATGAGGATGTCAGAAAAGGCAAAGGCCCGGCCCTGGAACACCTCCCGTGCCAGGCGCATAGTTTAGACTTTATCTGCTGGACACTGGGGAACCAATAAAAGCTTTTGAGCAGAATGACCTCACAAATACTTTTGTCCCAATAGTTTCTTCTCTGCCTTCCTAGTATCATGGCTCAATCCAGGTCTTAGACACTGAAGCTAATCATCTCACCAATAATATAAAATATCATAAACCAGCAACATAACTTTTATATCTGTCTTCAATGAGTCTAGTTATTGTATATCAGATCCCCAAGACTTGTGAGCATTTGGGAATGGTCAGTCTGGTTTCTGAACTGAACAACTGAATGACGGGAATTTAGAGGTGAAGCCTGAAGCACGATAGCAAAATGTAAACATCAATCCTTCAGGTAGGCCTGCTAAACATTCCATCAAGTTGGCTACTGACTGTCACACTGACAAGCACTTATTAACAATCAACACATGCAAAGCATTGGGTTAGGAGCAGTATCACAGTGGTTCCCAAGGAAGTCTGTGTTTAAAGCTGGGCTCACTGCTATATTGTCACGTGGGAGCTTTGTCAGAAAGATTCCTGGGCCCGGCTCTGAGGATGCTGGGTTGGTTAGTATGCAGTGCACCTGGAAAATCTGTATTCTGATGTACAACTATAAGAAATTTAAAAATAGCATTTGAGTTTGCAGGAAATTTACAATAGTTGGAAAGAAATGACATAAAACACACATGTATATAAAACATTTAAATAACAAGACCTGTTCCACATGACATGCTGAAAATGCTTGATAAATGTTGACAGCTGCACGCTGCCTGGAGAGGCTGAATATCCTAACGGTTGTGACACAGTGAGAGAATATCTGTGTGTGTTTATACACGTCATAGCAGATACTTCCCGGAGATGGGAGTGGGAGGCGGTAAACTAAAGGACGAGAAAGATTCAGAAAGGCAAAGGGTAAGGGCAGAAGGAACTGAAAGGTGGGAATGGACAGCAGGTTGTTGGTGAGATGCCTACAGGGTCCAGCAGGTGGAGGACTAAGAATTCTGTGTCTGAAAGGTGTCATCACAGCCCCTGTGCACATCTCCACCTCGTGTTACTGTTAGTTGTTTGGCCGTTTTTCTTCACCAATTGACTGGATGAGGTAAAGGACTGTGCATTTTTTATATCTATTCTTAAATTCCCACATTTGTTGATTTATTGGGTAAAGGTGTAAATGAGGAAAGTTTGAGATGCTTTGTGCTTTGGATGGTGTACATTTAAGATGATAAGGACCACATCCACTTGGGAAAACATTTCCAACAGATGTCACAAAATTTTAATGGAAAGGAGGCAGGAATAGAAACAGATTTAGATGAGACTCATAGAAAGGGCAGGTGGAGACAAATATCAGCATTAATTCCGCAAGACGACAAAACGGAGATCACTGGCTCACAACGAACCGTGGCAGCAGTCTTGGTGGCTGTCAGACCCGACTTTGGCAAGGGCAGGGAAAGAGGTCCGCGCTGCGGCGGGTCTCAGTCCTTCGTGGTCGCCGGGCAGTGCCGCGATGCTCCAGGGGCGTCGCGTCACTCAGCACCGTCGCCGACGGGCCCACCACCCGCTGACAAAGCAGCCACTCTGCTAAGTGGCCCTGGCACACACCTGTCACAGCCCTCAGCAAAAGTCCTGCCTGCAGGTGTCGCCTCACTCCGCGCCCCTCTGAAACAGCCCCAACTCCAGAGAATCACCCCGGGCTCGGATCGGCTGCTTTCAAATGTCTCCCTAACTTGGCACTAAGAATCGCGCCGGGACTCCTCGCGATGCCCGCGCCGGGAGAAACGGTCAGCAGCGGCGCGGACAGACACCGGGCACCGCGGCCGTGGGCGCAGGGGCGGGGCCGCGTGGCGTCGCCAGGCCGGCTCTCGGGACACACCCACTAGCCGTGACTGTGGGAACACATTGGTACGTAAGGGCGGCGACTCTTCCAGCAAAAAGCGGGTTCTGGGGGCGCATTGCGGGCTAAAGAGGCGGACCTGGAGCAGAGCAGCCCCACGGTCCCCCCAGCCGGCTCCTCGCCCGGAGCCCCGGAACGGCGGCACCTCGACCTCCACCGCCCCGAGCCACGCCCCTCAGCCCTCACAGTGACGTCAGCTGGCGGGTAACTATGGAAACCACACGCTCCTCTCCAGAAGGGTGGTGCGCGTGCCCTCCCGACGCCGAACCCAGTTCCACCTTTCCTCGGATTCCTTTGAGTTCGGGGCACAGGGCGCCGCAGGGCTGCCGCGACCCCGAAGGGAACCTGACGGGGACTGGGTGTTTGACGGAGACAAACGGCTGGACGACGGGGACAAACGGCCGGACCCCGGGTCCCCAGGCCCGGACTTACCTCTCCCACAGGGCTGGTTCCGATCGGACACTTCCGGTGGGAGGACGGAGCCGTCACCTGTCCCCGTTTCCGCCCACAGGCAGTTCTGATTCTGCGTGGGAGACGCGCCATCTTTGGACTGCGCTTCCCAGCAGCCCCGGGTGTCGCGGCGCTCGGACTCCCCTTCCCAGGCGTCTTGGCGCCGGATGACACGTGTTTGTGTCTCGTTCCTCAGGCGTGAAAATCTTGGTGGTCCGGTCCATGTTTTCCAGAGTCCGTGAGTCTGGATTTGAGACAGGATCACGGCTGCAGGGCGCTCCGGCTGCCGGGTTTCCTGACCCACATTCATAAACTACAGTTAAACTGATCACTCCATTATTTGCTGGCAACACCCTGGACTTTATTTGGTAGAAAATACATAATTTTGCCTTCTGCACGGAGTGACATTTGTTTAGAGAAAACAAATGGTTTTTAAAATCAAAGTAGAAAGTCGATTTGTAGAACTGACCCAAATCACAATTTGATAAAACCTAGCAGTTTCCACTAGATATTTATATGTTCCTTGTAAATTAAACCATGTTAATTCTGTGGGCTCAAATGGAAGCTGTAAACAAAGTACTATTGTTGTAGCTCATTGTCCTTAGAATCCAACTTGTCTTTGAGCTGCCCTAATTAACAACCTCAGGGACAGCAAGATGAACAATGGGGAATGTTATAAACGGCTTTAGCCCCATAAAAATTAACCAGAGTTTGACCTTCACTGGGAATTTGGAAAGCAACATCCTTCAGGAAAAGGGAGGACAGAAACGGCCCCAAGGCCAGAGTGTCCTGCATGCTCTGTAAAGAAACTGATAGGGAGAAACTGAAGCTCCCTTTTCCCCATAAAACTGTAACTGTTCAACATGTGTGTTTATGGCTAACTGCCTCGGCTTCTGTACAAGCAGTTTGCTTGCTCTGCTAAACTCTTGAATGACCCCTGCCCTATATAAGCAACCCTCCCTCTGAGCTCGGGGCTGCAGTTCTCCTCCGTGTAGGTTGGCTGCAGTCCCTGCACAGGTAATAAAACATCCCCAAAAACTGAAAAATTGAGTCTGAGTGTGGTCGATCTCCTGGTTTACAACACTATCATAAGCATTTCTGCACAAACTGCTGGGGTTTTTTAATTGAACAAATTAGCTTAATTTTCTTTTGGCCTTTTTTCAATGTAATAGTGTGTATAAGTTTGAAAAGAAGACCAGATATAACAGTACTTTGTTTTCTACTTTTAAGAATTTTGCAGTTCCTGACATTGTCAACATAAGAAACATTCAAACCTGTGAAGAATTGTGAGTTTATTTGATTTTTGGCAAACATCAGGAAGCAAAACCTCAATGGATTGAGACAATGCTCCGGAGAATAGCAGTTTTGCACCTTATTTTTTACATCACAATCAAAAGAGGAGATTTAAGTGGGTTACATGAACTCTATTGGTGATATATCAGGGAGGTGGGAGAAAATGACAGATGCATACATCCTTTACATAGGTGGGTACAGCATAGTTAACAGTCAGCAATTAGCTCAGTAACACCGAAGGGATTTGTTGTCTCCAAAGAATGATGCCTTGCTTTGAGGGGTCCAGAAAACGGAAAATAACTTACACATTCCAAAGACATGTTATCGTAGATGCAAAAAGACAAGAGACAGGCTTCGTTAAGGTAAAGATTGAACTTTGTCAGGGATGATGCTGGCCTAGGACATGACTACCTGCCATAAACTGCTTTTAGTTAAAAAGTTTTAATTTCAGACATCCTTTGTAGTTACTTTAGGTCTTTGATTTTGAAAGGCCACCACACAGGCCTCCCCTGAGCTCGTCAGGTTAGCATGTGGCCCCTTTGTGTCCACACATCCCCCTTATGGTCTTAAATCAATCCAAAGGATGCATTGATGATCAACCTTTTTGGTTGGATAGCAGGTCCCACGGCGCTAGGAAGGCTCATTCCTAGGAAGTTTCAATGTAAGCGTTTGTCTTGCTGAACCAGGGTGGACCACTGGGGATGGGGCAAGACCAAAACCTTAGGTGGTATTCAATGTCAAATTATTATTATTCAAAAATCATAAAGCAGGTGATTGGGAGGCAGTCAGATCCTATATGTCCTTGTTAAAAAATATTCTGGATTATTTCTAACTTTTGAGCTACAGAGTCTTTTTGCTGCTTGTCTGAAGTTTTGTTTTTCTGCATCTAGTATAACATTTACATATCAGGGAAAAAAAAAAATTAAACCAGTAACACCAATTAGGAACAAAAAATGTCTAATACTAGACAAGGAAAGGTCTGAGGGGAGCAAGCATCCCAGCCAACCAAAAAACCCTTCACATGTATTATCATAATTTTTTATTAGGCTAATTATGTTTTTTTTTTCTTCATCCACTGTCACTGTACCTTATGATATGTTTGGCCAGATGAATTAAGACTCTCAACTATTTTATTATCCAGAAGCCCTAATTTTTCTTTTGGCCAGTTAGTTTCCATAGAAATGACTTCATGGGGAGGATTAAGTTCAATTTTCTAATACATTGGATTTTCAGTGTCAATATTATCACAGGTTTTATTAACCTCAGGCAAAGTTATTCTGCCTATGATTTCAGTATTATACCATATTCTAATAGTATTTCAAGTAAAACGATGTTATTACAATAAAAATCACTTAGTATGACAGATGAATTTTCTAACACTTCCTAACAAAAACAACCCATTTCCCATATACCATATATTGTTAGCGTAGACCCAATAGGCCAGGATTGAGTGAATTCAGTATTTCATATAGATTAGGAGCACAACCATTCACCCTTTCGATTTTCACAATCAGATGGTGAGATGGGTTCCCATTATTCATTATTTTTAAATATGGTTCATCTACTTCCCTTCAGAAGTATTCTAGTGTTATTTAGTATGGTCCCTATGCCAGCCAGTTGAACTACTGAGAATTTAAGCTTAGGATTTAACTGAGGTGCCTGGGGTTTTTTGTTTGTTTGTTTGTTTGTTTTAATCCTCACCTGAGGATATTTTTTCTATTTATCTTCAGATAGAGTGGGAAGGAGAGAGAGAAACATCGACATGAGAGAGACACATCGACCTGTTGCCTCCTGCATGACCTGGACCAGGGCCAGGGAAGAACACAAGCAACGTATGTGCCCTTGGCCAGAATTGAACTGGCGACTCATTGGTCTGCGGGCTGATACTCAACCGCTGAGCTAAACCGGCCAGAGCAGACACAATGTCGTAGATCACATTTCCCATCCAAAGTTTTCGAACATCCTGGGGAACCATATGAGTCCCCTAAGTGTCTGGCCTGGGCCTCTGCACCCGTTATAGTTGGCCATTGTTTCATGGTTGCTTCAGATTCCATTTGTATTAGCATAGACCACAGGCCCTGGTGAGTAAGGGTACAGGCTCATTCCTGTTGTTGGGTTTGTGCATGAGTTTTTACAGTCTGTTACGTATGTTCTATCCATTCAGCTAAGGCTTTATTGTCTTCCCACCCTGTTCCTTCTTCCTGAAACAGCATTCTGTCTATAAGGAGTCTTCATTAGCTATAAGTTCAGCCTGTTGCAGAATACCAAGGCCAATGTTGGATCCATCAGGAGTGTTGTTGTCATTGGGTAGCTATGGCTAGGGAGCAGTTGGGGTATACCAAATGGACTCTAGAATCTTGAGCTTCCATGCCATAGTTAAATGGGTAGAGGTAACCTCAAATGAGCTGGAGTCTGAGTGTTCCATAGGGCTTCCCACAAGCATTCAGGACACAAGGAGGGTGGAGTAGTTACAGACATCTACCCACCAAGTAATCCCAATAATTTTCTAAATAGGGACCCATTGATTTTTTTTCTTCTGGTTTTGCAGACATCCAGCCATAAGAGAATGACTGGTGAGTCCAAGGACAAGATATACTATGGCAGATATGACAGGCTGCTACAAGCCTTTTTCCATCATATCCAGGTATTTTTCTTAGCTTTTATTTATCCATTACTAAGGCTACACAGTACTCATCCAGATTAGATCCATATGTAATTCTACCAAGGGAACTATTGGGGAGGTGTTCTTGGAGGTATTTGCCTAAGATGGGTCCTTTATAATAGATACATACAGAAAAAAAAAAAAAAAGTACCAAAGCCCATACTGATAGTAGGAGAAGACCAATGCATGGCCAACAAAGCGTTAACTTTCTTATCATAACTGATAGTCAGAATATCACTGTCTGGTAGGTAGAAAAGATTAGCAGATATCCAAGTTAAATTCTCCATATCTAATAAGGGAGGGGGTCTGGGAAGATAAATATTGTTTCCACTAGGAAACCATAAGCAGGATAATATACAAATCAGCTTATGTACATTTAATCAATAACAATTACATGATATAAGAAAAAGTTTTGAGTAGCATTAATTTGTGAGTGTACAAGCCTTGTTGACATCTTGGAATAGCTGTCTGCCTTTCTGGTCAGCAGCTTCTTCGTCCTTGAACAGTCTTTGATCTCTACTGTAGATGGAGGGGAGTGTCAGAGACAGGGGCAGATGTCCATTTGCGATTAGGCACTTGCTAAGATAAGGTCCTGTCCAACACTGTTGGAGAGAGTTTTTGATTAATGTCTTTCTTAATGGACAAAATGTTCCTGGTTGTGAGCTGTGATCTTTGAAGCCTTCATTTCCCAGGAGCACACTGTGAAATGAATGTTACTAATTTATCAGTCCCTATAACTTTTTTAACAAGCCATTGATAATACAGAATGTCTCCTTTTAGTTTTTCTTATATTTGGAAAATAAAAAGACTTCAATGTTAGTAATATTTAAAGTAGTCATAAAAATAATAATTATCCTCAGTTCATTTAGTCACATAACCATTTTTTCAATTTATCCTGAATACTTGCCAGTATTTTCATGAATTCAGTTATTCTTAGAGTACTATAAATTTTCATCCAGTGCAAAGATATGACTTGCCTAGAAACCTGTACTTTAGATTAAGTCAGAGTCCTTTTTATGAACCTTTCCAAAGATGTAACATTTTTGCAAACACATCCAAGAA